CTCACCCGCGGTATATGGCATATTCCGGAAGTGAGTATGACATATTCTGCAGTTGAGTATCGGGTATTCACTGAAATTAATGTATCGCATATTCAATGCGGAATATGCCATACTCACCTGCGGAATATGCCATATACCGCAGGTGAGTATGGCATATTCACCCGTATCACAAATACCGCGCAACCATGAATATATGCCATATTCCGGGTAACATTAAAGGCCGTTTTTTTGCTAGCAACTCCCATTAAAATATCAGGTTACATCCACACTTTAACATGGCTCAGAAAGTCAGGATTAGTAAGTTTAATTAACAGCATTGCTTAATAATTGATTTGGATTGGCTAAGCTTGAGGACTTTTAAATTTGAAAAATGTTATTACCGTTTTTAAATGTCTTATCACAACCCAAAAAATGATGAAGTTCAAATATAACTGCAGAATATGAACATCAATACATTGAAAGATACAATACGTTTTCTCAATAAATATGAAATTTGAGAAAATTGACCTGTGAAAGTATCAAAAATTCAGTTCTTTCGGCTGTTCCATTAGTCTGCCTCCTATTTATACCCCATGTCCCTCTTTAAGACATTGCCAGTTTTATAACAGTTTCAAGCATGTTGAAAACATTATAAAAGCTTTTTCGAATGAAAAGTGATTTAACGGGCAATAATTTGTCATGTGTGATTTTATTTATTCATTTACATGTATCACGAACAACGCATACAATAAATAGTGCCCCATTACACAGTCTGATATCACTCAGAACGCACCATTTAAGGTCTAAAATTCCCGGGGGCTCTCCAAGTTTTGCTCGGGCTCCGGCCTCACGAACCTACAATCAAAATTATACAAAATCCTGGTTATGCCGCTCAGACCTAGAGTATGGTATACAAGGGCTAAAACGAACAAGTGATTGTCTAAACAATCATGGTTAGGGTAAATGGTTCACTATCATAAACTGTAAGCTATTTTCCTATTTCAAATAATCAAATCGAAAGCTTTTCTTCCCAGCTCAGGGGTTTCACCCAAGTTTTTTTATCGATATACTTTCGTTTATAGCAAGTTCAATTTATATGTCTTTTATTAATCAATGAAGGTTTAATGCTGTTTCAAATGAATAGCTTGCATAGGTCAAAAACGAAGACCATATCCTTTTTAAATTGATTAGTTGAAATAGTTTTTGGCTTCATGTTGATAAGTGCTCTTCCCTAGTGAAATGCATGAGCGGTCTCAGTCAGACAATGTCTTGGAAACAGATAAACGCATGAAAAAGAATGCCTTCATGGATCATTAAAACCCCATTTGGAATGAGAAAGAAAAAGATAAAGGTTGAAAAGGCTATTGTCTGGTAGTGATACCTCATATTTTGATTGTTCATTTATTTATTTATGGGATCGACCTTTAGTTCTCTGATACACCTATGCAAATTTGAAATGAAACCTGGTTGTTACTGTTTTATATGCCAACGACAATTGTTATTAATTCATCTTTTAGTAGTAAAGAAAGAATAAGATAAATTGAAAATGTCAATCAAAGACTTAGATAACTCCTAAAAGATGGAGAGTGTTAATAATTTTGATCATGCATAGCTCATTTGAGGGTTAATAAACTGAATCATGTTCCATTAATTTTGGTTTCATCAAAGAATGCAAAATAATTCAAATGTTTCACCACAACTCGTTCAAATAGTTATTGATCAGCAATTAATTGCAAGAAATTCACTGTCCCACAACTAGTTACTTTGACGGCTCAACTTCTGGTGTTCACGATTTTTGTTTTCTCGATTTAGACCTACTTATAAGTAAAGTCGCAGATTTTAATTTGGCACAACGTTAGACGAGTAGGTTTAAATCGAGAAAACAAAAAATCTTACCGAAATCGAACTCCGGAATTTAAGCCATCTTGTTACTTTGACGTTAAGTTGTGGAACAGTTGTCACACGACCCACTTAAAACCCTCAAATGATTGCAACGGCAAACATTATGTGTCCACCAATGGACACATTGCTTTCTGTCTAGATTGCCACAAACGCGGAATGTGGAAAAATACAAGGTGGGCAACCTTTTGTAATCGCCTTTTCCAACTGCTACTAGAATTTAGATACCATTTTCTTATCTAACCTACTTTGACCAGACACAGGGTCATGAAAAGAAAGCACATGGTGCCCCTCATGTGATATCTGATCAATCGACTCTACAACCAATCTAAAAGCTGATTGCTATTTGATATCATCCGGGTGGTATCATAGAATATATTTGCTCTAAGACTGATGTTTATGCGATTAGACTTTGAACGAGGGTGGACAATTTCACTTAACAGAATGATATTTTTCAATGATATGTTGTACTGCAATAGTATGCATACGTCTAGAAGACACTACGGAGCTAGAGTTACGCAGTTTGTATATTTTTTTCTTGCTCTTTCGGTCTTAAAGGGTGACGCATATCGTTTAGCAAATCGAACGCTCGTTTCTGGTGTTGCTCACCGTTTAGTATAAAAGGCCCGATCCCGGAATAATACTCAAGGGTTCACAGGTTCGAGGTCGTTGTGTCAACACCTCTAACTGTTATATAGCATAAGTATATTATAGATCGTCACACATTTATAAAAGGGTGATTTTTATTTTGACAAATCAATTCCACATTTATGGGTGAAGTTTCAGGATCTTCTATTTGTGTATAATAAGGAAAAATTGGCATCTAAATTTCCCCATAACGTAATAGCACACAGCTTGGCATATGAAATATCCTACAAATGAAACAAAGCAAGACAAACCGGTTTCTAATACAAGGATTTATATTGGCTGTTGTACATGTATTCTTTGAACGCAATCACTCTTTGGATAACGTTTTCAAAACCATTATAAACGGATTACTTTATCTCAAAGACAATTTCAATAAACTGGATTTTACAGAACTCCCCTTATTTCTTAAAAATGGACTGATCCAGTTGATTCGCCTGGAGCCGCCATATTGTTTTCATACGGGATGCTAATCGTCACCCTTTAAGTGTTATGATCATCATTTGGATGCATGACTTGGAGCTATTAGTTGAAGCACCTTCCGACCTTACACGGTTGGAAGAAAGAGATGACATCATAAACGGATGACACTATAAAAGGATGACACTAAATTGAACTTTACACACCGAATGTTATGATATTTTGTTTACAGGTGATCTACAGGTCGCATGTTCCTATTGTCGCTACCGAGACTGTTCCATTAGCCCATCCATAAAGTATAACGTTTGGTCATGAAATTTCTTTTAATATATTATTGGTGTTAATTCTTATGTACTAAGTTTGAAGCTAATACTCTGCTTATGTATTTGACTTATTATTTTGATTTTTTAATCAAAAATAAGTTCACAATCAAATAAGGAGTTTCATATAGCTTACATATCATTCAGAAGAAAATGTGGTCTACCTGATAATCAATAGCGGTAAGTAGTCTTACATTTTGAGGGATAACTTGCGAAGGGAAATAGTAAATCTATTTCGGAACATGTGACTAGGTATTGACCAATCAGGATTAGTGTTACATATTGGGTATATAATAATATTTAATATTCACTTCAGGAGATGGTACCGATTGTTCACAGCATTGGATGTAGATAGATATAGTAAATGCTTGTGTAATCTGTGATCATGTGAAGTTCTAAATCAACTTCAGCAAACATTCACATAATTAAATAGAAAAAATGATGAAATGCATTTGAGGTTTTTCCTACAACAAAATAATTTTGTTTGTTTATTTTTGATTCTATTGTTTTCTTTTTCTTTTCACCGTAATTTGATTTTCAGTTTTAATGTATTTGTAAGGGTTGACTCTAAAGACAAATCAGTAAAGTAGTATATTGCATGTGGTGACATCTCTGAACTACTTCATCATACAATTTACATGCTGAATAATTACAAAATATAAAACAATTTAGATTAGATACTCTAAAAATGACAAGTCTATTACTTTCTATCATTATATTCCACTATTATTTTAGAATTACAAGTGTCATCCCTTTTCTCCTAGTGTCATCCTTTTTCAACTAGTGTCATACTTTTTCTTGGTGTCATCCTTTTGTGGTGTCAGCCTTTTCTTCCAACCGGACCTTACAACACCTTACATCTGCGGTACATGATGATAAAAATTGTGTATCGGCGCGATAACGACTTATATCCCAGTCGGCGCGTGTGACCATATTTACATCAGGAATACATATATACGTCATTGGAACTTATAATAGACTGTGTTTGTGCCTCGTGTTTGTGGGCCTCCATTCGTTTGTATAAATTCAGTATAATGATCAAATACGAGCTGATTATGAGAAAATATGGCGGGAAATTCTATAAACAATTATAAAGCAAGGCATTATGCATTTCATTTGAGCTGTGTGGGAATTATACATAAACTGTATGCTTTAAAGTTTTGAACAAACCGTAATGAGGTCATATTCTCATCAAATATGATTTCAATGAAACGAAATAATATGTGATCTGACTCATTGTCATTTTACTTTATTTCATGTTTCGTATCATTATTAATAGATGTCGCGCTAAGCTGATCAAATATTACTGAGGTATTTACTATTTACTCTAATACTGTGATTTCTAGAGATCAGGCTACAGTGATTTTTATCAAGTGATGTTCTTTGTACCCTTTGCATTCGTTTGACTTCACTTCTTAAAAGAGAGCTTCGTCTTCATCTTCTTTGATGATTAGATGCAATCACGTTTAGAATATCCATCAGACCTAAACAAACCATGGCATATTAGATAGGCGATAGAAGACTTTCATTTTTTGGAGTATAATTTATAATTGTGAAAGGTGCATAGATATTATAGACTGTGTGATTGTGTACATGTGGTGCAAACTTAACTGTTTGGCATGGTTACATGCATCGTGGTAGGCCACGCCCTCTCCATCTCTATCCTTCTGGAGAGACAGCGATGCAACAGAGAGAGATGCTATGAGTATCAGAATGGGTTACATGTAGTGCAGCGTTCGAAAATCAACGGGCCATGTCTGTGTCCTGTCTTTCCAGCGTCTATAATTATAATTCATAATTAAAGCGGCTTCGAAAACAACCAAGATATAAGTAAAATAAATGACACTAATTATCTTTGTTGTTTGGACATTTGGTCTCAATCCCCGGGTCTCAATCACCAGTATTAGTGAAACTCCTGCGACTTTGATGAGATTCCTAAATAGGTAATACTAATTCAATACAACTAGATCTTTTAATCACATATTTAATAATTTCGACATTTGGCGACAGATAAAGTTAGAAATCATTCTTGGACCAACTTTCCCACACTATTCGTCGCATGTTTTATTATGACTCAGAAATCACATTTAAGCTTTTATAATTTTTTATTTTGACGTCTTATAAATTACACCCAAGCACTATCGCGATGCTCTTTTATTATAAAAAGTAAACATTATGACTTCATACGAGGTATCTAAAAAGTGTATATTCATTGGCATGTCACCATATGTTTGTCGCCTCTAATACTTTCCCACGGCTTATGCCAAAAAATATCTCTCTCATAGGCTGAGTATTAGCATGTACAGTCAATGTAAGCATATCTTTTAGGCGCAGGTGGCTGTATGAGCTTTGTGTATTGGTATGTCTAATCGTTGAGCTTGTTTACATTACAATAAGGTACCTCTCTACTTTTTAGAGAGGCGGAGTTTTCCCACACTTCTCTCAGGTAGGAATACAATAGCGAAGTCGTGTGCCTATGTCAATCACTCATGTTGTTCTGAAGTTTAAACCAATCAGATTACACATGGCGTCTTACCAGACTTGATGACCCCTTCTGATTGGTCAACAGTGATGGAACGTCTCGTGGGAAAGTGCGTCCCAAATAGCGATACACACGATGGCCACAGGTATATATCTACAGGTATCTCGGTTGTATATCATAATAATCAATATACTTGTCGACAGCACAACTAGCTCGAGCCAAAAGTTAACACACACACTCGTCAAAATGTCTGAGAAAGCAATGCTACAAATAGAAGAAAATAGAATGCAGAATCAAAGAAAGGTAAGAATTAAATACTACTTTCACTATTATTTAGTCTAAATATGTTATTAGGAGCAAAACAATTCACTATTTTCTTGTTTCTCGACTTTTATCATACTGTTTGAATGCCAACTTTAAACTAGCAAAAACTTTATGTTTCCTCATTTAAATTTTCAGAGTAACAAACCATTGATGGAGAAGAAAAGACGTGCACGAATCAACAATTGTCTCACAGAGTTGAAATCGCTCGTCTTGTCAGCAATGAAAAAAGACGTAAGTTCCGAACTTTATTTTACCTTGAAGTATTTTGTTCAATATGAAGTACAAGTTTTACGCATATTTACGTTAACCAGGTACAATTTTGAGAAAAATCATATTGTTCTTACGCCTCAGCAAAAGTTAATGAGACTTCATATATACTTGACAAGTTGCTCATGGTATTTTGTTTATCATTTCAGCCAACAAGATTCTCTAAACTCGAAAAAGCTGATATCCTTGAAATGACAGTACAGCACTTACGCAATATACAGAGACACCCCGTGTCAATGTCTAAAGATGTCGCTTCCTCCAACAAATACACAGAAGGCTTCAACAAATGCGCTGGGGAAACAATTCGTTATTTGGATTCGTCCGAGAATACTAAGGAGATCGATGCTCAAACCAGATCTCGCCTAAGTGGACATTTATCTTCGTGCATGACCGCCTTGCGTCAACAGAATAAACAGAATATTCAGGAACAAACCGTGACATCATCCCTCCAACAGCCGTTGAACATACAGATACCAAGTCCAACATTGCGACTTATGACACCACCCCCTACAGCCAGTCCCGAACCAAACAACCAAAGTCTACCCGTTACATTGCCCTCTGGTCAATGTGCATATCTGGTTGTTGGAAACACAAACATTGTTCCGGTGGCACAAGTATCGCCATCTTTCGTTAATGGCTTTGGAAATGCCCTCGTAGTGGCTGCTCCTATAGACAATGTACATCAGGTTCTACGACCGATTCACCAAAATGATGAGCAAAAGACACTGAACAGAAGTTACACACCACCGCAAACCACCGTCCCCAACCTTGTATCGGTCAGCCCCAAGACTGATTCGATGTGGAGACCGTGGTAATACAACAATAGATTCATTGATGGGACGCTCGTACCATATACTGCTGGCAGTTTGGGATTTTCTTGGTCCAAACGATTGTTCATGAACTGCATAAACTGAATCAAAATACTCATATCTTATCATGTTTACAATGTCAACTGCTGTTAATGTTTGCCAATGGCTCAGTGTTTGTTAGATGTATTTTAAGTTTCTGAACGCTGGCGTTCAGATTTGTATTGTCAACCATGTTAAAGAATGTGAAGAAAAAATAAAACCAATCCAAAAAATAAAATAAAATATGAAAAATTATTAAATTTGTATTTTTATTCTCTTCTATTGATAAAATGTACAATGCCCCAGTTCAGGCATTACACCTTTGTATTGCAAGCGAATGTTTTGAAATGAAAAACGTCAATCCCGAAATGAAGACACGGGACCTGTTCAAAATGATGAAGCGACACAAAACATGCTCTTCAAGAGAGTAGCTAATAGAAGGCCATGGTTTCTCGTCGTAGATGTAAAACCCGTATTGAGTTAAGATGTCCGTGTCCTTCATCCTTGCTGCAAGGGTATTTTACAAGTATATAAGTAATATAAGTATATGTTAAATATAAGTTTAAATTTAAGCATAAATGAAGTCCTTTGAAGAAGGATGGGTGTCCTTATTCGTATCAGTATTTAGGTTAATGCTTTTCTACATTGTGAGATAGTGAGAACGGGTATTTTAGAATATATACGACCCGCATCACAGCAGTTAATGTCGTTCAACTAAATATTTTGAAGCGTGGGAAAGTGATCCAACGCCAACTTAATGGATTACACAAATATAATCTGAAATAATAATGCTCAGCCGATTTAAAACCCCTGGGTTAATAATGGACAAAATTACAGGTAAAATTTGGTATTCAAGATACAGAGATATCCTTCTGAACAACATAATCCGTCATAAACCTTCTATGTGCTCGTTGGCACGAGATGTACATTCAAAGTAAATTCAAATCCTCTTTGCATAGGATTTGCGCGTGCCCCATACACAGTCATAATCGGGATTTCCATTCCCATTGACAAAGAAATAAATGCCGTTTAGCACAACACAATATTGGTCCAATTTCATATTAGAAAGTCAATCAGAAAATAATAATAGATTTACCTTTCATTAATAGAAATCATGTTATACTTCTTTACATGGAAAAATTATCATTTTCAAATGGAAACGATGCATGTGGGCAAACTTTCTCCGTGTGGTATCGTACCTACAATAGACCACAAGGTTAATCGTAGAAGATCCCATTTAAATACCCCTCCTCAAAGAAAATGATTTTCCCACCTCCCTCCTGCGTCGAACTGATTGGAATGTCGCAGGTCAAGTTGGGGTGAATGAGTTCGCAGAGGCGAAGTTGGGTCGACTATTACATTATGTCTAAAGGGGCGTCATTGCAACAGATCTCAAAACATAATAAAAGAACCCAAAACACATTCAATCATTACAACCATCATGATAAACCATGACATCTCATTTTGAGTAAATGGAAAGGATTTGTTTCTCTTTCCAATCCAAGAGTAGTTTGATTCATTTAGTAGTAATACCCTTTCAAATAGTTCTTAAAAGAGAGCTTCAATAGGCTCTGCCACTCAGATGCGGATTTGCTTACGTCTACATTCAATCAGAATACAGCCATATAGTTCAATCACAATTCACTCAAAAACTGAACTTGAGAGGCTTGATTGCATAATTTCCAAGATCTTTTAATTCGAAACATGTCTCGGGATCCTATGTTCAAACATATTGCGTAGTAAGAGGCTAAACCTTTTCCACGTATTCAAATTACCTTAATTAAATGATCAAACTATTTCATAATAGTGTGTATTCAAACTGAATTCGTTCGTTTCATGAATTGCCGATGTGTGCACGGTAATCCTCATTAAAATGTGTGTTTAATTGTATATAACAAAGTACAATAACATAAGCTGTCTTGATCTCATTTGAGTGTTTATAGATTTCAATAAGTATGTTACGGCTGGGAACATAATATGGTACAAAGACCTACTTCGTGGAACTTGTCTGCGCAAATGGAAAGTGACATCTATCATTTAGTTAATGTTTCAATCTGAATATTTATGGCGTTATCCCTTACTTTTAAACCAGTGTATTCATCATGATACAGAAATGTAATCATGATGTCAGATATCTCAAGCATTTAATATACTGTTGCTTGAGTAACAAAACCCCCTATGTGAAAGATGATCCCTGCCATCCTCAACTTCGGCCGGCTTCGACAAACCAGAAGTGCATTACTTAGAAGGTGCATGTTTAAGAACAACAATAATTATATGGCATTGTGTAGATGTATTTTATGCTGGAATAAACATCCTCCGATCACAGGGCTTCAAAATCCAGAATATCCCCGATAAAGAACTCGCAATTTGATTCGCTGTCCCAACACTGCGACAGCAATCATGTATACGTCATCGGTGCATAATTAGATCACATGACTCAGTTTAATCGGGCGGTTACTGTATAGCAGGGGGGAAGAAGGAGGTACGGATTCTGGACACCTGCGTCGGAGGATGGGAATAAACACGCCAAAAACATACAAGGCAACTTCAATCAAGTCGTTTTAACTTGTCTTAGCAAGTTTGCATTAAAGGGAACTGACATTTGTTTCTCCAGCTTGACTTAACTCAAACGTAATATGAATCTATAAATTAAACATGGGATGAGAAGGGTGGAGGATTATGGACGTTAATGCCATTAGACAATGTGAAACACGATCGTCTGGTTGATTCACAAGGAGATGGGTTTAGCTTGTTAAGATGAACTAAAAGACAAGCCAATGCAAAGTCCACCATTCAGTGAATAATTAGCCCCATTTAGTATATATCAAGAGCTCTTGACCCTAGACAAATCCCACTAATTGAAAATAATGGGCTTAATATAGGTGGGAGAGGTGTGACTTCTTCGTTTCACACATTCGCATTTTGGGAAAAAGTGAGTGAGGCTTATCATGCTCCAATTTCGAATCTAAAATTATTTACCCTTTTAAGACAAATATTGATAAAAGAGATCCATGGTAATACATAAACCAAAGCCAATACATCATACCCATTAGGGATGTAACTAAACGAACGCCTGGCAACCGTTGTATTGTGAATGTAAGGAAGTTGAAGGATTTGGACGAATTTTATCACCGTTGGGTTTGGGTGTAAAGTTGACAAACAAACATGAAGCACTACCTGTGCATGTTATTCTATATAATCCCCCCTTGGTGTCAGACATACTGCTTGTAAATTTTGAAACGTAGAGTTGTTACATTGGTGGTTGTGTTTATTACCAACTACTTCAACCTGTCTGACACTTTGGCTTATCAAACAATAACCATATGTATCTGATAATCATGTCAAACGGCCAAGCCAAACCTCAAAAATTTAATAGGGTTCCCCGGCAATAGTTTTTAATTATGAACTGATTTCCAAAACTAATAAACCAGAGAAAAGTGCCATGGGCGCAGAGGTTAATTCTCAAGTTTTCTCTTTTGAGAACTTGAGTCAAACAAATACGAAGGGCAAGAGAAAAATTGATTGGTAAGAATAATATAATGAAATCCTAACGACGACCGACACGCATGGATTAGAGGGTCGAGCTACGGATTTTAAGGTCTCATTATGCCCCACTCCCAGTCTGAGACTCATTACATATTTCCTTTTCAAAAATATTTCTAGAAAGGACCTAATAGATTAAGAAGGCCATAATTTCCCACGATGCCTAACCCCAGGCAATATCGCAACTTAGGGAATGTCTCTCTGTTATCACATTGATACTTATAACATCTTTCTGCTTCATCTGAAACATGCTCTGATCATATTATGAGGCATATTCTATGAATTGAGCATTACATCAGATGGGAAGTTATCATGTAATCATTTACCTTAGCTAAATGTCAATACATTACATAATAGGCATTGTATTTAACAGCAGATATCAGCACCGCACAGGTACACTTTCATGACCCCCATGATGAAATATGAGCTGGGATGAAAGATCTAAAAAATTCTCAATTTTGGGCTCTCTTGGACCGGGCCTCTGGATCAGCAAATCTAGCTCATTATATCATGACATCTCAGGGCTGAGAAGAAATGAAATGCCTTGGTTTATCATGATGGTTTATCATGATGTGTTCGTTTTAGGTTACTCGATAAATCTAAGAGGAAAATCATTACTTCGATAGTTTGACCAACCCTTTGACAAACTTTGGTACCAATTGAAAGCTAATAATGATATTTCGCACTGAATGATTGATAATTAGTTTGAAACAGGTGTCGTTGCCATGTATGATAGTTTTGTTTCAAGACTGTAGACCCCCCCCCTTATCTCGCGGGGGAGGGGCTTGTAGCTAGACTACATGTATGCCGACTAGATGCGTTGTCTCCAAACTTTGTACTATTTCACCATCCTTTCATTTCGCAACGAAAACTACATACGGTGTAACTGCGAACGTTTGGTCATCGGCCAGATGTATGCCATATTGGTCAAGAATAGGAAACTACGGGGTACTTTAAAATTTGTAAATTAAATATTGCGCTCCCCATTTTGATTCAATGACATATCATTCGAACAGTACTACGTGCTAATTATCGACCATAACTAGGTAATAATGACTTTGTTTGACATTTTCATATTTTAGATTATTTTTATTTAATAACTATTTTGTTTTGCAAACATTATTGCCTTTCCCTTGCTGTTTTTGCATACTGTGAATTTAATTTTCAAAAGAATAATGATATCTTGTGATACTTTCATTCAATTGAAATGATTTCTTCGCTCCGGCCCCTGATGTAGCTTAGCTCAGCATCTTGAACCCAGCTGCATATTTGCTTATATTGTCCCATCAAATTCGGTATAAATAATTACAGTTGCTTTATAGCACAAAATACAATAATTATATTTTATAAATTGCTACTAAAACATCGCTGTTAAATACTATAGTATCATATGATAATATAAAATGTGAAAAACGTGTTGAAGTGGTGAGTTTTTAAAAAAAATCAAATGTGGGGACAGATTCATCAGGATAAATTAGAGATGATTAAGAAGTACTGTCAATCGGAGAGCAAATATAAACATTATGCTCAGTAATATACCTAGTCTAATTATAGTAATTGTTACTTTTCTGTTATCTATTGGAGGAAACATTGAAATGAAGCCAACCATTATTAGTAGCTTGATATTTTGATCCATCCTTAATTATCAAAAAGTAAGGACGCTGAGTTTATCAACGCTGATACCATAAAAACAGCTCGTTATTTCATACATTAATTCAAACATCGATCGTCATTCCTTCAAATAAACATGAGATTCATATAATGAGAATAAGCTTATGAATAATTTCTATTTATGTTTTAAAAGATTGTTCATACAAA